CATGCCCGGCTAATTTTTTCTATATATTTTTAGTTGTCCGATTAATTTCTTTCTATTTTTAGTAGAGACGGGGTCTCACTCTTGCTCAGGCTGGTTTTGAACTCCTGAGCTCAAACAATCCGCCCGCCTTGGCCTCCCAGAGAGCTAGGATTACAGGCGTGAGCCACAGAGCCCGGCCCGAACCCACTTCTTAATACTATCACATTATCAACACTTGAATTTTGGAGGGGACTTATTCAAATGATAGCAACAAAGATTGCAAAAATATTTTAGGTAAAATAATTTTAAACTATTGCTAATTTGAAGTTTTAATTCTTTTCCTGTGAACCATGACATCTGTGTATTACATATACAAATAGATTTTGTTTTCTAGTAGAAAGCATACAGTATACAGTATACAATATACAATATACTAACCTTATGTTGTTGTATTTGGCGTTTTAGGTCTTCAAGATCAGGTCCAAGGGGCTCTTCCTCCATTTTCCTTGTTCTCTCTTCTGTTTTTGTTAGCCAGTCATTTAATTCTTTTAGCTTCTGATTCTGAAGATCCATTAAAACTTTATGTAAACTGGAAAGTTGAAAGAAGTCTATTATTATCTCTATTAAAGTAACTTGACTTATTTTTACCAAATATACAACTAGGTAAAACAGCAGAATTTAAAATTTACATCATGTTCACATTTTTTGGCATCTGATGGACATTAAGAAAAATGTAAGTAAAACACACTATCAATTGCCCCCGAAGCTATTCTTTCTCAGATTTATAACAGTTAACATCTCAATCTTTAGAAAGTTTCACATAGCCAACTGAATGTGAACATGCTAACTAAAGTGCAAATCATCTCTGATAATTGAGTTAGTAGTATATCTTGGCAATTGTTTTTCATATTGCTATTATTTTAGTATCTGTTATGGTTAAAGATCACTGTCACTCTTCTTATCAAGATATGAGGTCTATTTCCCAACACCATGAATATGGTCTGGCCTCGTGACTTGTTTTGACCAATAGAATGTGGCTTAATTTGATACTGTATCAGTTCCAATGTAGGCTGTTAAGGAACCAGCAGCATATGAATTCTCTCTCTTGAAGCCCAGGTTTCATACTGTAATGGAGGCCAGGCTAGACTACTGATGGATTAAAGACCAAGTAAGAGTGACCTTGGAGGATCAAATGCTATCTGAGAAGGGAGCTTCCAGCTCAGTGAAGGCCAAGGAATGATTCCAGCTATATCGCTGGGAGTAGAAGAAAAATCTAGCTGAACTTTGCTTGTATTTTTGATCTACAGAATCACAATGAATTTATAAATTTTTGTTTTAAGCCACTAAATTTGAAGTCATTTGATATGCATAAATAGATAAGTGAAAGGGTATTTTTTTTCAAAGATCTACAAAATAGCAGGCTGGGTAATGGATTAAAAGTCCAAAGGCCTAGGTTCACAGCCCAGCTATGAGCCCTAAAACCAAGTTCTCAAACCTTCTTAATTAAATTACCAGCATTAGGGACATAGAATAACACCTTGCCTATTAATTACACAACTTTACATTGAAGATGAAAATACAAATTGAGGTCCATTGACTAATCCATCCAAAATTTGAGACGCAAATCGTGTTAATACACATTTTAAGGTAAATAGTCTTTATGAAAGTCATGTTTCAAGCATTTTCCAAAACCATAATATAATGAACATTGATCTTAAAAGGACATAATTTGAATTAGGAATTATTATGACTTATGAAATTGTTACCAGAATTTTCCATCAATCAGCACATTTAAACACACAAAATACACATATGTTTTTTTAATAGACTTTATTTTTTTGGAACAGTTTTAGATTTACCAAAAAATAATGAAAGTGTAATACAGAGAGTTAGCATGTACCTCGTACCTAGTCTCCCATTTTATAAACATCTTACATTAATATGGAACATTTGTTACAATCAGTGAACCAATATTTGTGCATTATTATTAATTGGAGTCTATACTCAATTTGACTACCCTTATATTTAAACTTTTTTTCTATTCGAGCATCTCTTCCAAGATTCCATATTACATTTAGTTGCCCTATGTCCTTAGTCTGCTTTTGGCTGTGGCAGTTTCTTAGAATTTTCCTGACAGTTTTAAGGAATACTGGCTAGGCGAGGATTTTGTAATATGCCCCCCTCCACCCAAAAAAAGGGATTCGTCTGATGTTTTTTTCTCATAATTAGCTTGGGGTTATGGATTTTTGAGAGAAAAACCACAGATGTAATGGGTCATTTTAATCACATTACATCAAGGATATATATGCTCAACATGACTTACCAGTGTTGATGCTAACTTTGATCATCTGGCTAAAGTAGTATGTGTCAGGTTTTTTTGTTTGTTTGTTTTTGTTTTTTTGTTGTTTTTTTTTTTTTTTTTACTGTAAAGTTAATCCTCATTCCCCTTTTTACACTTTTTTTTTTAATATAAGAAAGTCACTATATACAGCCAACACTTAAGGACTGGTGACTTATATTTCCGTGAGAGCAAAGAAGCTACCTAAGTTATTTGGAGTTCTCCTGCACAGATTTGTCTCTATTCCATTTATTTATTTATTCAATTACCTACTTACATAGTATGGACTCATGTATGGTTATTTTATACTTTGGGCTAAATCCAATATTAATTTTTCCTTTTTCTTTTTGCTCAAATTGTTCCAGCTTTGGACATTAGAAGCTCTTTCAATTGGCTCCTTTAATATACCCCATTAATGTGTGTTTTGAGGGAGGGGGATTGAGCATGTCCCAACTTTCCAGCAGTACAAAATGCACGCTGCCCATTTCCTATATTTCCTGTCCTAGTTTTACAATCAGCCATTTCTCCACAGTGTCCTGGGTCCTTTTATTGGAGAATAATATTAGAAACCACCATCCTGCTGTTGGATGTGCTCATTGCTTCTGGGATGTTGTTGCATTTATGACTTCTGGGTTGACAGAAGAAAGAATGCATGGTGTGTATAGTCACCAATAAATACTTTTATATGTAATCATCTGTACCTACATTAAGCTGAATTTGAGTTCATACTAATGTCTCCACCTAATTCATTACCACATAGTTTATTTTTGCCTCTTTTCCTTGCTCATCTGTAAACTACCTGTTCACCAGTAGGAAATTTGACTTAAAGAGGAAATTTTTAATAAGAAACTCAGACATGGTTTCATTAAACTAGAAGTTGAGATGCTCCTGCTCCATGTTGCGATCCTCATACTGCTAAATCAAGAAAGGAAGGCATTACTGTACTGAACTTAATCACAAAGGATAACTTGAGTTGATCCTATGCAATGGGAAGCAAATAGATTTGTATCAGACAAACAAGACATTTGCCAGGAATCTCTTAATACCTCCATGTACAATAATGTTATAACCAATAAGAAACAGAAGATAATTAATATGAATCCACTAATAATATGGTTCTTTTTGGAATGATGATTTTTATCTCCCCACTAAGGTTAAAGTCTCCAACTAGAAGAGCTTCTGCTATAGTAACAAAAAAATCATTGTACTGGCATAAAAACAGACACATACACCAACAGAAGAGAATAGAGAGCCCAAAAATAAATCCATGCATTTACAACAAATTGATTTTTGAAAAAGGTGCCAAAAACACACCATGAGGAAAGGACAATCTTTTCAATAAATGCTGTTGGGAAAAGTGGATATCCACATGCAGAAGAATAAAATTAGACCCTTATTTCTCACCATATAAAAAAATCAATTTCAAGTGGATTAAACACCTATATGTAAGACTTGAAACTATGAAACTACTAGTAGAAAACATATGGGAAAAGCTTCATGACACTGGTCTGGGAAATCATTTTTTGGATATGACCTCAAAAGTACAAGCAACAAATGCAAAAATAGACAAACAGAATTACACAAACTAAAAACTTCTCCACAGGGGGAAAAATTCAGAGTGAAGAGACAACATAGTGAATGCAAAAAATATTTGCAACCTATATATCTGGTAAAGGCTTAATATCCAAAATACATAAGGAACTCAAAAAACTCCAAAGTAAGAAAAATAAATGACCCAATTTCAAAATGGACAAAAGGCTCGGTGTGGTCACTTCAGGCCTGGGCACACAAAGAGCTTGTACTCAGTAAGTATCTGCTGAACAAATAAATCAAAATAGCAAGATTGTCCAGGCACCTGCCAAGGTCCTGTGTCATACCCTGCCACTGGCTGCAGTGCCGTGTGTGTGTCCAGGTGCTCATCGAGGTTCTGTGACCTGCCAAAGCACCAATGAAGTTCATGCCACACACCTCCATGGAGAGAAACCTGCCAAGTCCCTTGCATGATCTTTTAACAGTGGCCTGGGGACCAACCCACCAATCCAAACGAATATCCCCCAGTACCACCTTGGACTGTGACAAGTGTAGGGAAATGCGATGATTCAGGAGAACAGCTGTGTTTCAGGCTCGCAGTGCATCCACCCATCTCCCGCCAGGTCGATCCTCCAGAGGAAGACACAGAAGCACAATCTAGGGATTTCTCCTCCTTCTCACTAAGTAGGAGAATTCCCAGCAAAGGACAACAGATGTGCTGCAAATCTATCAGCCCTGAGCTCATAGAAGAGGTTTCAGATGAGAAGAAACCAGCAAAAGAATTCTGGCAACATGAAAAAACAAGCTAGTTTGACACCCTCAAAGGATCACAATAGATCCATAACAACAGACCCCAACCAAAGGAAATTGTCAAAATGTTAGAAATGGAATTCAGAACATGGATGTCAAACAAGATGAATGGAATTGAAGAGAAAGTTAAAAACTAAAAAAAAAAAACCAAAAAATATTTCAGGACATAAATGAAAAATGTTAAAAACTCACTAAAGAGATAGACAGCATAAGAAAGAATATAACAGAACTTAAAAGAAATGAAAAAGTCATTTATGGAATTACAAAATATAGCAGAAAGTCTCAACAACAGACTAAACCAAGAAGAAGAAAGTATCTCAGAGCTTGAAGGCAAAGCTTTCAAACAAACACAATCAGTCAAAGATCAGGAAAAAGAACAAAGAAGAATGAACAATCACTCAGGGAAATAGGGGACTATGTGAAAGAAGCCAATATATAAATTATAGGTATCCCTGGGGGAGGAGAAGAAGAAAAGTAAAAAGATTGGGAAACTAGTTGAGGGAATTATTGAGGAGAAGTTCCCTGCTATCTCCAGATACATAGATATCCAGATACAAGATGGTCATCGAACACCAGGAAGATTCATAGTAAATAGGACATCTCCAAGACACATAATCATCAACCAGACCAAAGTCAAAACGAAGGAGAAAATTCTATAATCTGCAAGATAAAAACAATTAACCTATAAAGGAAAACCCATCAGGCTAAAAACGAACTTCTGAGCTGAGACTTCACAAGCCAGGAGGGATTGGGGCCCTTGGGGTCCCATTGTTAGTCTTCTTAAACAGAATAACTGATAGACAATAATTTTTTATCCTTTAAAACTAAGTTTCCTAAATGATGGAGAAATAAAGACTTTTCCAGACAAGTGAACACTAAGGGAATTTGTTGTTACTAGACCTGCTCTACAG